AAGAAGAAGAAGAAGAAGAAGAAGAAGAAGAAGAAGAAGAAGAAGAAACTCTAGCTTTGTGAGGAAAATTTCTCACCCTGGTCCATACTGGCTAGACCTAGTGAATAGGGCCATATTCTCACTGGCAACCATGTCTGGCATTTTCAGAGTCAAAGTGGTTTACTCTGCTTAAGTAGGAGCCCAACAGAGCCTATTTGGCACTCAATGCATTTTGACGAGAAAATATTGTCCTGCCACTTGTCATTTACTACTCAACACACAAGCCAGAACTTGTCAGTGTCGCTTGTGTCATGACTAATTACTCTTTCCAGCTGAAACAAAGGGTGATGCATTAGTCATATGGTAGCTCTTGCCTTGTGCACATCCCCTTTGCAGCCTTAGTTTTTCTGTGGTCATTTTGTGTATATCTGTGCTTTTTTTCTTCATCAGTACAGATAAAGTGAGGTTTTATTTTATTTAATCTATGTATTTATTATTTTTAGGTTTATTTCTCATATAAAGTAATGATATACAACCCTATCTTTTTACTTATTGCCTTGAAAATGGGCTTTGTCTTTGGTTTGGGAAAGCATTAAATTTATTTACATTATTTGGTAGTCATCATGCCTCCTGGTACCAATTAACGATGAGTATTGAGGTACCAGTGTACTGGCCAAGAAAGCCTACACCAATATGTTGCCCCATCTTATTGGAAAGGTTTCCCGAAAGCCATCTAATTTTGGCTCACAGAGACTTGCTGTCTCAGTCTTCTTAACATACAAAACTACATTAATTTAAGTAGGAAGCCTTGTTGGTTTGCTGTCTGCCTTGAACTGGTTTACCTGTATTTAGTTGTTGCGCAGGCAGGAACTGCCTGCAAAAGTTGATGGGGTTAGCGGAGATGGCTAAATTGACTGCTTTGACAAAAAAAAAAAAAAACCCCCACCATAAGTACTCTTGTTTCTACTTGGAAACCACTTCTGGACTTTGTTCTTGAGATAGAAAAAATGAAAGTTAGATAGATTTGTTGATATAAAAATGGCTAGTTTATACTACTGTATTATGTAAAAGTTGAGGTTGGATGTTACTGTCTTATTATACTGCACCAAAGGGAGTTGGAAGTCAATGCCTTTTCTTTCTTTTTCTCTTATTTTCTGCACTCTTCCCTTCTCCTTTCCCTCCCCTATTTTTCCTATTCGTTTTTATATTTTTTTGTATTTTATATTATAACCAAATAAAAAAATGCAACAACAAAATAATAATGATAATAATGATAATTTATAATTTAAACAATAATTTATAGATCTTTCTCACTATCACCTGCTTTCATTCTCCAGTTAGAAAAAAAATAAACCAAGAAAGCATTGGTGCCATCTGCTGGTTCTCTGTGGAAAAACACCCTTGCCTATTTATTCTACTTTAATTCTGTCTCCGATTTAAATTAGTTCTCAGCTTAGCTGTGATGACCCATTTTTCAGGGTTGAAATGCTGCCAGGAATAATTATATTGCTTGAACGGTATTCCATTGTTCCATACAGAGAAAATTGCTGTATTAATATCAAGATTTCCCCACATGTAGAATATGGGCCTTGCCACAGCCATCACTCAATAGTGAATAACACCCCGGCAGCCCATTTCAATAAAGGTAACAATTCTCTTGCACTTAAAAAAGTTGGAAGAGATATTATGAACCCACAAAGTGTCCAGCCTGGCCTCTCTCACTCAATCCAGCTTTCTGTGTAATCTCTTGGCTAGCCAGGTACATTCAGGAAGGTGAGAACGCTCATGTTACAGGTAGTTCTCAATTTATGAGCAGAGGTGGGATCTGGCTGGCATAACAACCGGTTCAGGGAGTGCACGCATGCGTGTCAAACGCATGCTGCACGTATGTGCGCGCTACCGGCTCCGGCAAGCATTTACCTTCTCCAGCTGACGAGCAGCACTCAGCTGTGCTGCTCAAAGCAGCTGAGGAGGAAACCGCAGTCACTAAAAGACAGCCTAGAGCAGTGTGGCTAACCTTTTTGGGCTCCTGTGCCAAAAATCGTGTGCGCGCTTGCACCCTCACATTCGTGTGCCAGCACCCAGAAGGCAATGCGCACCGCCCCATGCCCCCTATGCATGCGTGCGTAAAATCAGCTGTGAGCTGTGCGCATGCTCAGTGAGGTAAGTTTGCCTGCAGCTCGCGTGCCAGCACAAATTGCTCTGTGTGCCACCTGTGCCATCACGGGCCTAGAGCCTGGGTGGGCAGGAGGGCCAAACAGCAAACCGTAACCACATCCTAGCGAACCGGTTTGGTGTCGGCTGCTCTTCAGAGCTACCGGTTCTATAGAACTGGACCGAACCAATAGGATCCCACCCCTGCTTATGCGCTGTCGCTTAGTGACAGTTCAAAGTTGTGAGGGACCTCCCCAGAGCTACTTATGACCCAGTTTCAAAGTTCTGACACAGCCTCCCCTCACGGTCACTTAATCACATTGTGGGTGCTTGGCAACCGGCCCACGTTTTCAGCTGTTTGCAATGACCCATTTTCATGTGATTGTGATTTGAGGCATTTTTTTTTTTTTTTGCCAAAAACCAACTTTTACTTCTGGTTTCCTGCAAAAAAAAAAGCCCATTGGCTAAAACAGGTTTGTTTAATGATCGTGGCATTTGCTTAAATGACTGCTGCAAGAAAGGCAAGAAAGCCGGGCGCAGTCACGTGGCAACCTCCTTAATGACTGCCACAATTTATGGAATTATGATCATAATTCCAGGCTCAGTTATAGATATAAGCCGGGGACTCCCTTTACTGGTTTAAGCAATCTCTGGCTCACATGTCAGTGTACATCCATTAGTGCAAGTCATTGCTTTATTACTTGCAACAATTATAGCCATAGCAGTAGCATTTAGACTTATATACTGCCCCATAATGCTTTTTACAATGAGCAGTTTACAATATCAGCCTATTGTCTCGAACAATCTGAGTCCTCCTTTTACTGAGCTTGGGAGGATGGAAAGCTGAGTCCACCTTGAGCTGGTGAGACTCGAACTGCCGAAATGCTGGCCGTTGGCAGTCAGCAGGATCGAAGCTACAGACTGTGGGCTGAGTTGGCCTGCAACACTGCATTGTAACCACTCGGCAGCCCTGAAAATGGTTTCAGCCTTGGAGTTTTGATTCTGTTGGGTGTATTAACTGGAACCTTGACACCACTGTGCCATCTAGACTCCTTGCAATTTAATGCAAGCAATAATGAAAATCAAATTATATAATAAAATATTTAGGAATCTCAGTCTGTAAACAATGTACTAGCCCTTATTGCACAGTGAATGAAAGTGGGCCAGCCTTGCTTGCTATAATTGCAGATGCCAGAGGGATGGAGCTGATTTAGGGGTTTTGGAGCTGGGCTGTGGACTAGCAAAAACAGTAGCTATAGAATGCTGTTCAATTATTAGCTCTTCAGAGAAGGAGAAAGCAAAGTGCCAGCGGGAGAGCTTTGTTCCAGCAGCAGGGTTTAGATGGCAGAGGGTTTTGCTTGGGCTTGGCTCTCCCCCAGCTTAGGCCTTGAGATTGAGAGAGTGACATCCAGGCACGGACGGGCCACTGTAAAAAATAAGCACTTGTTCCTGAAATCACGAATCCTGTTTTACAGTTCTGGATATTCTGAGCATCTCTGTGGAAACACCAAAGGAATTGGGGGTCTATCTGCATAACTTTGCAGCCGCTGCTCTGGCTTTATTCTCCTGACATATACCCCACAACAAATCTAACATCCCAAGCAGGTTATATACCAAGGCATGCTGTATAAAGTCTCTTTAATGTGCTATGTCCTTTAGGGCAGGGGTCTCCAACCTTGGCAGCTTTGCTGGAATTCTGGGAGTTGAAGTCCACAAGTCTTAAAGTTGCCAAGGTTGGAGATCCCTGCTTTAGGGTTTGTATTTGCTCTTGAGTCTTTTTGTGACTCAGCAGTCTTTTTGTGGAATTGAGAGAGAGAAAAGAAGGAAGGAAGGAAGGAAGGAAGGAAGGAAGGAAGGAAGGAAAGAAAGAAGGAAGGAAAGCTATATTTATATAACATTCTAACTGGTTAGTTACAGACCAAATGGCTTCATTCACATAATATGCTAAGCATAACAGGATGTGTGTGTGTGTGTGTGTGATATTAATATTTTGTAAAACAGAATACAATTAAGAATATTCATCATACTATAACTCACCTACCAATAGGCATATTGAGCTCCACCAATGCTGAGGGAAAATCCAGGTATTTGTGGACTTCTGAAAAACAAATAGAATCAGGGCCATCTGGATCTTGAGGCTGTTCCAAAGTCCAGTCCTGTGACAAGGAAATAATGTCTTGTGAGTTCTAAAGGATGACATTATTTTAGAGAAGGCATCTGGCACATTGCCCACTCCGCACAATGACACAAGTATGAATGTGTGTTTTCTTAACGTAAGTAACTGTGGTCTTCAACTGCAGGTAAGGTTTTATGATTTAGAAGCCCTTGTGACACAGCGGTTTCAATGCAGTATTGTAATTGCATTGTACCTCTGCCCACTGCCAGCAGTTTGATTCTAACTGTCTTAAGGTTGACTCAGCTTTTCATCCTTCCATATTTGGTAAAATGAGGACACAGATTATTGGGGGCAATATGATGACATTGTAAATCACTCAGAGAGTGCTATAAAACACTATGGAGCAGTATATAAGTATATTTTATTGCTATTTAATGATTGACAGGCTTTGTTTCTTTACAACATTCTTTCCTCTGTTGCTGTCTACAGGGGGCCGATGCTGGCGTTACAAAGGATCTTCTCTGGAAGTTGGTTTTCCCCAAAAGTGCAGCCTTACTAGTGATCTCCCACGCCACCCTGACACTGCCCTGTTCTTCCAGCCACTCCATCAGCTGGTGCTTTTCAAAGGACCTAAGTATTATGTAGTCAATGAGGAGACCCTCCAAGTGGAACCTTATTATCCTCGAAGCTTGAAAGACTGGGGAGGGGTTCCAGCTCTAGCAAATGGTGCTGTCACACATCAGGATGGCTTTGTCTACTTCTTTCGAAATGACCAATTCTGGAAATTCAATCCAGAGAAGCTAGAAGTGGTAGAAACTGGAAAATGGGCTGCTCGGCTGAGGTGGCTAGGTTGTCAGGATGTCAGTCTAAATCAAGCTGGGACCTGATATTTCTGTTTATCTCTGGATTTGTCACACATTTTTCTAGTAAAATCTCCAGAAGGCTAGAACTTTCATAAACCATTTACTCTGTTCAGCAGCATTCCAAGTTTGTGTTTAATCTGGTCCCAAAGAGATTACAGAAAAAACCAAAAGCAATACACAAGGCCTGAGCCAAAATTATATTTTCTGGAAGAAAAGTATGAACCCTCCAGAAACAAAAGTTTGATGTGAGGAACCATCAATCAAGACTTGCACCATCAACGTTGAGTGTTAATTTTATTATGACATGGGTGAGACAAAGCGCTTCTTGATTTGGAGTGATCATAAGACACTAGATTGATGTTGTGCTTCTAGTCAGTCAGAAGGAAGGAAGACAGAAGATAAGATTTATTCTCCACTGGCAATTGGTTGCACCTTCATATAGAAACAGGCCTTCTTCTTACAGCTATCAACTTAACTGGGAGTCTTCTGTAATATTGTCGATCTTTATCATCCAGAAGTGACTGCCATGGAGAATGCAAAACCAGAAGGTCTTTTCAGCAATAAATTTTCCTCTACAACTGAGCCTCAAATACTGGTGCCTAATCATGTACCATCTGCCTATGGATTTTGTTCCATTTGATACTACTTCAGTATGGAGCTTTCCCCACCATCCAGCCAGAGCTGAAGAAGCTTCTTGGATGAGAAATGAAATGTCTTCAAAGAAAAACCAGAAAGTCCAGTTGCCTCTTGAAAAGCATCTTTGGGACAACCATGACCTGGATGACTGAGAATGTCCATAGACATATGGAGCTAAGGGTGTTACTACCTCTCCTTCCTGTTAGATACTGTATTGTAATTTCTGTATGGTGCTTTTAGTTTCTTTCTTACACAGGTAGCCATTTTGTAGGATTATGATGTTATATTATAGCAATCCTTTATTCTTTTTCCATATATGTAGTTTCATTGCAACGATTGTATAAAGAAAAAATATGGGACAATGGTACACTCAGAAAGGACTCTATGCCATCCGGTGGTGGGATTCAAATTTTTTTACTACCGGTTCTGTGGGTGTGGCTTGGTGAGCATGGTGTTGCTTGGTGGGCATGACTTGGTGGGTGTGGCAGAGGAAGGATACTGTAAAATCTCCATTCCTTCCCCACACCACTAACCTGCTTTCCAGTTCTCCTGTGCAGGGCAACAAAAGAAGACCCAGCCAATCAGCTGGGACTCAGAGACAATAGATGGGGCGGGGCCAGTCAGAGGTGGTATTTTGAACTACTCAAAATTTCCACTACCAGTTCTCCAAACTACTCAACATTTCCACTATCGGTTCTCCAAAACTGGTCAGAACCTGCTGAATATCACCTCTGACACCATCATTATCTCATATCTCCTGAATCTTTTAACATATTGATATTATTTCTTTCAGGCATGAAAAATCAGGATCACATATAAGTCCCAGTTCAAAGTTCAAGCCTATACACAAGAATCTAGTCAATTAATGGTCAATACTAAATTGGTGCTATTGTAGATAAGATTTAAGGGAATTCAAGAGGAGCTGTATTTGGAGTGTTTGTGGACACATAATGATTCTAGGCTGAGTCCTCTCTTGATTCTGTCCCCAGACTCTCCCTAATCTTCTCCTACAGTTTTCAATAAACATGCAGTTCTGAGATAACTTTTCTCAAACTGGTATATTGAAAGATGGTGCTATTTTTAATAGATGTCTCTATTTAGAGATTTGGAATATTCTTTCATCATTGTTCCCAAGAACATATAAAGAGACATTCTGATTCAACAGATATGAGATTCATCATGATTAGCATTTGATTTCCCACATTGAAGCCAATAGGCAGAATGTGTAATCCCCTTATGTTCCCAGAAATGGTGATTGAGACTATTTCGTTTCCAAGCTTTGGTGACATCAGTGGCATGCAAACTGTCTTTTGTAATGCCTGGACAAGCTGCTCTGGCACTCAGAACTTGTTTGTTCTGGAGGACTGAACTCAGATAGTATTATACCCTATCAAGCAACCATATCAGCAGCCTTGGCACATGAAACAATGGGTCTTGTGCTAAATATACACCTGGATAATGGGTATAATCCTGTGTCTAGACTATATATCTTAAACTGTAAGTCAGGGAGAGTACAACAATTTGTTTCATTCCCGGAGACACTTATATAAGAAGGCATGTGTGTCAGAAAGAGTTCAGAATATTTTTTTTCTTACTTGTAAGACTAAACTTATGGGTTTCTATGTGGATTGTATGTGTATGGAATCATGCATAGTTTTCAGCCACATGGGATTTTTCTTAAATGACTAGTATTCAAGCATTTGCCTTTGTTCACATCCATTTAAAATATAATGTCTTGGGTAAAGTAATTTATTTATTAGAACTTTATAGCAGGAAATGAACTCCATCATTTTTCTGACCTTCCAAGACTTCTAGAATAATGTAGTGTCAAGTTTATGATTACTGAATTTTATCTTTCAGGAACTGAATTAGTATTTATATATATATATGACAATTTTATTTCATATAAGGGTATAGAGGATTATAGTCATATTCTGGCTTTATGGTTTCTGTGTCCTTCCCCACTTTAGCTGTCAGGAGTTGACAGTGATATATCCTGATATTTTTCTGCCAGGGTTCAAAGGGATAGATAACTGAATTAGTATGTTCACTTGTAGCAATGTTAGAACATCCTGTACAGTTTGTGAATTTTCAAATTTATTGGGGATAAGCGTTCATAGTTGCCAAACTGAGTGCTGCTGTGGTGGAATGTAGTCTGGATTCCCGGGAGGGAGGGGCTGAACTCCAGAGAGCAAAGATGCAGTGAAGCACAGGAGGTTTAGTAGGGAGAAAGCTACTTCAAAAGGCTCCTCTCTTGTGATTCCCAGACTACATCTACAGTGATACAAATAGTTGCTTTAGTTTGGCAAGATTTCTCTTTAGAAGTGAGGAAAAATAAATTATTCAGAAGTAATACCATATGTCTTTCTTGAGGACTGACAGGTGAGGAATTACGTCTGATGTTTTGAAGATTGACTGATGGCATCTTATATGAACATGGTCATCGTGTCCTTATTTTTGCAATATTTTATCATGATGGTAACACAATCATTTTCTTCTGTTGATGATCAAGACTACTGAGGAATTGTTTTCACCTTTGATTTCTTGCTGCAATGTGCCATTTGGTCTCTTTTTCCTTGCCTTGAAGAATGCAAAAGGGAGTTGGCCATTCTTTGTCTTTCTTCATGTTGCAACATGCCAGTGTTGACTTTTGTCAAACCCATATTGACAAACTGCTTAGAGGGCAGGAGCCTGTTGTTTCCCAGGATTAGACATTTGTTTACCAGTGAAAAGGCATGCGCAATGCATACATTGAGCAATTTTGCAATAGGTGGCAAAGCTGGAAGAGGACAGATAGTCTTTTTTGGACATCCAAAATGGCCAAAGGAATACTTTGCAATGGATTCTGAATGGTTAAAAATGGGCAACTAGAAGACTTAACATCTATCAGTGTTGTTTCACCTGCTTCATCATTTACATTTCTTTGCTACCTGTCACTGAACAAAGAGTTCTTTCTTAGAATTGTTTGAATTAGTATTTATTCTGGTTCTCAGAAACCACGCATTTCAGGGTTAAGGACTCTATAACTATGTTTTCACAGCATGCTAAACCTAACTCTTGGGTTAACAAACTACTGGAGGTGGGCAAAACGCTGTCTGTTTCTCACTGAAAACAGCCTGTCTCTGTGTTCCCAGGGCTGGTTCAGGTTTTTCCAGAAGTGGATTGTCCAGAACAGGAAGTAAAAGTCTTAAAATAATTTTGAGTCAGGAATACCACAAACCATTTCCTGCTCTTTCCACTTCCAGAAATGCATGAATTAGTCCTGGAACACCTGGACTGATCAATTCTGGGTGAAAATGACCCACGATTCATATACTGAAGACACAGATGCTACGAATAGAACAATACATTGTCCAAACAAATCGTATTGTTTAACACAATAGTATGGCTCATATTATGCTGAGATAACAAACTGAACCACTGTATCAGGCCAGGGAAAGGAAATCCTCTAGGCCAGGGGTCCCTAACTCCTGGTCCATGGACTGGCACCGGGCTGCAGCATGCTAGAAACCTTCATTTGCACAAACAAATGAAGCCCCATCTGTGGTATGCAGGCAGCATGCAAAACCATGTCCCCTCCGATCCACGGAAAATCTCCATGGAACCAGACCCTGGTGTCCAAAAGGTTGGTGGGCACTGCTTAGGCAGTTTAGCAGACATGCAGATCTCGTGGAGGCCATTTACTACTTATATAGGGCAGATGGAATGGCCTTGAAGAGCTGCCACCAAGGCAACAGTCAGATAAATGGGGTTTGAGCCCAGACCAATACAATAACCTGAGAAAATGTTTCCGATAGGCCTCTTCCTAAGTTCACATAAAGTGAGGGAGGGGGAAGCACACTCAGGCCTGCAAGATTCTGTTAATACAGCTGTTCAATAAAATCTCTACAGTATTAATTTCTTAGTCTGGTTTACTTTGCTTTACTTTACTGGTTTACCCAACCCCAAGTTGCTTGGGAGAAAAATAGATATTTTTCTTATTGATCCCAAACTTGTTAATTCCAAGGAAACTTAGGAAGCCACATATAATCATCATAAAAGGTTCTGAAGATATAAAGACATGTTTCTAGACCAAACATGAAACATTGGTAGGAAAGGTTACCAACAGGTTGGAGAACATTGGTATAAATAAAAGTATGAAAGGGACTAGGGCTAGGCCATAGTTAAAATATATGATCTGAGTAAGCAGAGGTAGAGATTAGACCCATCTTACTCCTTAGGATGCTACACTTAAGATTCTTCTGGTATCATTCCAACCTTGCTATAACTCCATGTTTTGGGAAATCCTCAAAGCCAAATAGATTTTATTTACAACAAAACAATCCTATTTCCATACATATATAAGTAGTTATGGTGAACCTGGGCAAACTTCGATTCTTAATTTAGGTTAATAAATTAAGCAGATAGCTAATGTTGTTGGTGGACCATGAAGAAATAAATCCATTGTTCCCTCTCATGGCCACTTTGTCTCTCTACTTTCTGCTTCCGCTGGAGCACCAACTAAGTCTATGGAACCTGGAATAAAAACAGGTAAATCAGACCTAGGTTTATCTAGTCTAGCATTGTTTCCACTGGTGATAAGCTAAATACCTCGGTGAAGCCCTTTCCTCTTTAGCCTTAGGGCCAGACATAGTTACATTTATAGCTATGCTATGTGCTAAATTCTGTTTTCCATAAATGTATGTATTTTGTTTAAAAAAAGTGTACCATCAACCTATCTCGACCAAAATGTTCTTCAAGTTCAATATCTGCTGTCAAACGATTATAGTCAACTAAACACTTCCCAGAACAGCGTTTCCTCAATATTTTGAAGCATAAGCCTCATTGACTCATTAAAAGTCAGAAATTAAAATTAAGCATATCTACTCTGTTAGGCAAATACCAGTTATGTAAAAGTTGAAGTCCTCATATCTTAAAGTTGCCAAGGTTGAGAAACGCTTAAAAACTAAACGGTGATATTGTTTTATATAGAGTTGGATGGAAATGGGCAGCTGTATACATGTTTAAAGTAAAATAAATAAGTTTAAACGTCATAAAATTGAATTAAGATTATTAGTTTCTGGTCATACATCTCATGATTTCCCCTTCTGTTACATAACTTGTATTTGTCTAGCAGGGTAGATTTGCTTAATTTTAATCTCTGACTTTTAATGAGGCTTATGCTTCAAAATATAGAGGAAACTTGGTAATTGGGTTTTCTCATGGAGCTTCTGCAGGATTTTGAAAAAGGATAACACCTGTGATTGCACAATCAAAGCCCCACCCTTTTCAAATGCATAAAAATCATACCAATAGCACTGAGACTTCTATAGCGCTTCACAATGCTTTACAGCCCTCTCTAAGCAGTTTACAGAGTCAGATATTGCCTTCAACAATTTGGGTCCTCATTTTACCCACCTTGGAAGGATGGAAGGCTGAGTCAACCTTGAGCTTTATGGGATTTGAACTGCCAAATTGCAGGCAGCCGATAGTCAGCAGAAGTGGCCTGCAGTACAGCCAACAGGTGA